GAACAGGCCGGGCCGGACTGGAGACACGCACCACAGGTCTGGTGCGAGGCGCAGGAACAGGCCGTAATGGACTGGGAACATGCACCACTGGCTTGGTGCGGGGAGCAAGTACGGGGCGTACCGGGCTGGCGACACACACCACTGGTTTGGTGCGAGGAGCAGGAACGGGCCGGGCCGGACTGGAGACACACACCACTGGCTTGGTGCGGGGAGCAGGTATGGGGCGTACCGGGTTGGCGACACACACCACTGGTTTGGTGCGAGGAGCAGGGACGGGCCGTACTGGACTGGGAACACGCACCACTGGCTTGGTGCGTGGAGCAGGAACGGGCCGGGCCGGACTGGGAACACACACCACTGGCCTGCTGCGGGGAGAAGGTACGGTGCGTACCGGGTTGGCGACACGCACCACTGGTTTGGTGCGGGGAGCAGGTACGGGGCATACCGGGCTGGCGACACACACCACTGGCTTGGTGTGGGGAGCAGGCACGGGCCGTACCGGACTGGGAACATGCACCACTGGCTTGGTGCGAGGAGCAGGCACGAGGCGTACCGGACTGGGAACCGGCGCTGGAGGTCTACGACTGTACTGGTCCTTTACTCTCCGCGCCCAGTCCTCCTCCAGTGAGGACTCCTCCTTGAGCCCCCACGAGTGCAGTGTTCGGGCTCTTCTCTATCGATCCCCGACCACCCTTTTAGCCCCCCAATTTTTTTTCCTTGGTGCTGTCTCTCGTGCTTCCTCCTCGACCGACGCCTTCTGTGTTCCTCTCTTGCCTTGGCCTCCTCCTTCGCCCAGGGTCCTTTACCTTCCAAAATCTCCTCCCATTTCCAAAAACTCTTCCCCACCTGTGTCCAGGGTGTCTGCTGCTCCTGGGCACGCTGCTTGGTCAGTTTTTGGTGGAATCTTCTGTCACAATCGTTGAGAGACGGGTCAGACCAAGGTGCAGCGTAATATGCAAACATGTTTACTTTATAGAATAAACATACAAAAACAACAAAACAACGTAACGTGAAGTCCTCAGGCTATACAAATACAAGCCTACAAACGGAACAAGATCCCACAACAAAGGTAGGCAACATGGCTACCTAAGTATGAACCCCAATCAGAGACAACGAGCGACAGCTGTCTCTGATTGGGAATCACACCCGGCCAAATACAGAAATACAATACCTAGATCACAAACATAGAATTTCCAGCATAGATTCTCATGCCCTGACCAAACCAACAAAAAACAACCGGCCTCTCAAGGCCAGGGCGTGACAAGAAATGAATATCCTCAGTATGCCCCTGCCCCTGCTTTATTTGTCAGTGAATTAATATTCCATTGCCAGGGACCAGGGTCGTTTTCCAATCACTGAGTCTATTGAGATGATCCTCAGGGTGGCACTTAATGCATCTCAATCTCCCAAGATCCATCAATAAACTCATCAACATCACCCCTCACTGATGTTTATTAAAAGTAAAGAGTGATTTAAGCCCACGGAATGTACAGTATGTTCCTTTTTCCTTGTCCTCTATTACAGACCGCACAGAGAACATTCCAGGGATCTGAGTTCTTCAGAGATTTATAAAGATAGGATGGTAATCACAAGGTGACTTATAAACAGAGCAGCTATTTATTGGCACAACTCTGTAGGTTAAAGCATATTCGTAGTAGCCTAATACCTTCTATACTTTGCCATTAGAGCTAGTCTTTTGAGTTATTCATTATATTGTGTGAATGATTTCAACACATTTTTATGTCACCACTCCTCCCTCTTTTCACCAGCAGATGCCACCCTTCCTTTTTTTATTACATCTCATTGTAAACATTATAAACTGCTTTGCTTCTATATTTTTATTTTATTTTATTTAACCTTTATTTAACTAGGCATGTCAGTTAAGAACAAATTCTGATTTACAATGATGGCCTATATCTGTATCTTGTCTCTGCTTTTCCTTAACACTTCTGTCATTTTGTTATTTATCTAGCTTTTTCTTCTTTGTCCCTTGCTGAAATGTCCAAGCACAACACAAATACACTGCTCAAAAAAATTAAGGGAACACTAAAATAACACATCCTAGATCTGAATGAATGAAATAATCTTATTAAATACTTTTTTCTTTACATAGTTGAATGTGCTGACAACAAAATCACACAAAAATTATCAATGGAAATCAAATGTATCATCCCATGGAGGTCTGGATTTGGAGTCACCCTCAAAATTAATGTGGAAAACCACAATACAGCCTGATCCACCTTTGATGTAATGTCCTTAAAACAAGTCAAAATGAGGCTCAGTAGTGTGTGTGGCCTCCACGTGCCTGTATGACCTCCCTACAACGCCTGGTCATGCTCCTGATGAGGTGGCGGGTGGTCTCCTGAGGGATCTCCTCCCAGACCTGGACTAAAGCATCCGCCAAGTCCTGGACAGTCTGTGGTGCAACGTAGCGTTGGTGGATGGAGCGAGACATGATGTCCCAGATGTGCATACCACCCTCATGGAGTCTGTTTCTGACCGTTTGAGCAGACACATGCACATTTGTGGCCTGCTGGAGGTCATTTTGCAGGGCTCTGGCAGTGCTCCTCTTGCTCCTCCTTGCACAAAGGCGGAGGTAGCAGTCCTGCTGCTGGGTTTTTGCCCTCCTACGGCCTCCTCCACGTCTCCTGATGTACTGGCCTGTCTCCTGGTAGCGCCTCCATGCTCTGGACACTACGCTGACAGACACAGCAAACCTTCTTGCCACAGCTCGCATTGATGTGCCATCCTGGATGAGCAGCATTACCTGAGCCACTTGTGTGGGTTGTAGACTCCGTCTCATGCTACCACTAGAGTGAAAGCACCGCCAGCATTCAAAAGTGACCAAAACATCAATCAGGAAGCATAGGAACTGAGAAGTGGTCTGTGGTCACCAACTGCAAAACCAGTCCTTTATTGGGGGTGTCTTGCTAATTGCCTATAATTTCCACCTGTTGTCTATTCCATTTGCACAACAGCATGTGAAATGTATTGTCAATCAGTGTTGCTTCCTAAGTGGACAGTTTGATTTCACAGAAGTTACATTGTGTTGTTTAAGTGTTCCCTTTATTTTTTTGAGCAGTGTATATTGCAGTCAGTGCTTGGCAAAGATTTGCCTTTTTGTGTTTATGTGGTCCTCTAGAGGAAATTCTACCACATCACACATTTCAGTTGACTAAGAGCTTATTGTAACTCTGATAGATGTACTTTCCTCAGATTTTTGTTAACATTGTCATGGAAAAGCAACACATTTTGGAGAGAGTGAATACCCTTGTCTGTGTCCTGTGGTTAAATTTAAGTTATTCACAAACCACGTTTCCATTCACAGTTTTCATGCGAGTAAAGTCATACCGTATTTTAAAAAATCAAGTCCTCCCACTACAACTCGGGAAACCATGCAGTTTATTCAGCTACAGATTAAATAATTTATGATAAACTTCACAGGGTGGTGAAAGTGCACGGTGATCTTGATGCTCCTTTCCAATACATATAGAGGGTCTGATTCTGGTGATGTGATGATTGACACTTTACTGCCTTTTGACAAATACAAATATTCTCGCTCTTATCGATAATCATGTCATCATGTAGTCTAGCCTACCCGCACTGTATCTGTGAGCTGTTGGCTAGAGCGCAAGTGCCAAGTCCAGTGTAGGCACATTTGCTATTTAATGCAACAGTTTTTGTGACAAAACTATCGGTAGAGTTAAAAATGCCATGGAAACACATTGAACTTTAGATTTTTTTTCAGTTACATGAAAACTTTAGCTAAAAAGTATGTGTGCAGTACATCATCAAGCACTGATTTTTTCGGCAACATGTCCATTTCGTGGAAACACACCACTGGTTGGTAAATGCGCATATTTTATTTATGCAGTTTTTAGAATATTCACATGAAAATCTGTCTCCAATTGGATGGAAGCCTAGCTAGTGTGGCCAAAAGGTCTATACTTCTGCAGGAAGAGTTACAACAGATACAGTACATTCCACTGAGACCACAGGCATAGAGGCAACACTTGATAATATGGAGTAAGGGGTAAAGTGAAACCACATCCTGCCAAGATAACAACATCAAACTTTGAAAAGCATTGAAGCAGAGAGAATGAAATGGTAGGGTTACATAATTATTCAGATGAGTGTCATACCACTTACATCATTTCAACGTCTAGTTTTGATTTACATTTGGTTGAGTTGTCAACTAACTTGAATTCAGCATGAAATCCAGTGGTGTAAAGTACTACTTAAGTTGTTTTTTTTAGGTATCTGTACTTTACTTTACTATTTATATTTTTGCCAACTTTTACTCTTACTTCACTACATTCCTAAAGAAAACTCCTGGTCCACCATACCGTGAGATTGGACTGCTGTTTCAGTAAAAAATGATTCCGCTTATTCGGAACAGCCTCTTTTGTTGCCATGACAGAAAAAGTCAACCAGCATATCGCACCCAACACTACACTTGTCTGTCCAATGCATGTACATAGCTTGCCCGCTCCATAGCAAGCTGCTCTATGCATTGGTGAAGTAATTTAATGTTGAGCTAAATGTAAAAAATGGTTTAAGAGGTTTAAAAAGGAACAGAAAGGAGCGATATAAACCGTTACTTTTTGGGGGTTTGAACCAGTTCAGAACTTTATTTTGCTGGTCGGAACAGTGGAACGGAACAAAAAACATAATGGTTCTGTTGAGAACAATACTATTGGAAATTATTTCGGTTCCAACCCCTGACGACAACCAAGGTTCAGTATCAAACAGTTACACAGGCATCCTCTCTTTGACCAAGTCCAAACAAAGAGAGAATGAGCTGTGGCCCTCCTTTTTTACTGCCACTGAGTAGGAAGAGGAAGCCATGCAAGCCGCCAGCATTGTGACAAACCCCACTCAACTTCCCCCTATCTCTAGCAGAAGCACACAATACTGGAGGTCGTATGTGAGGGTGATGGGTGTTCCTCCTAAAACTACTATAGAAAAAGAGACTGACTGTGTCTTAATCAGTCACTCAGATATAGACACCAGCAGCCAGAGGACATGGAGCCAAAACAGATCAAAGAAGGATACATGGTCAAAAAGGTAAGGGTGATAGAGGAAAAATTGTTCCTGTCAAAAAAACGTGATTACTATAGGTATTTGTGTTTAATTAGGGCCATAATTTTATACTGTAGATGTGCTGTGGACAGCTTAGTTATTAGACAATAGATTATCTCACATTTGAGAACGTTAGGGACAAGATCCATCGATGGAGACGCTGACAAGAGCTGGTAACATCAAGTCAGCTGGCACTATGTTTGACTTTTTACATTTTAAGTTGTCAGTCAAGTGCTCTAAATATTTACTGTAGTGTTTTTGCAGACTGTAGTATACTGTAGTATTTACTGTAGTGTTTTTGGGGACATTACTGTAGTATTTACTAAAGTGTTTTTGTTTTATTATCTTTTACATAGAAGTCGGGGGCTTTCTCCTTGAGGAAACCTACTGGAGAAATACTAAAAGAGCAATTATGTCATAACGTGTAGGTAGGGCGAACTGGGTTCTGAACGGAGAGTTCAGCACTTCTGCTCTTGTCTATAACCATAGGGAACACAATATGGTATATACATGGCATGCTGGTTTCTCACATACGGGTGGCACAAATCCGGATATGGGTGAGGGGAATGGTCAGAATATATGAAAATTAAATACTGTAGTATTTACCATAGTTAAAAAATGTAATGTTTTTGTGGAATGTAGTGTTTTTGCGGACATTTTTGTAGTATTACTACAGTGTTTTTTTGTGGATAATACTGTAGTATTTACTATAGTATTCTACAGTATACTACAAAATTCTATATTAAGTACTACACATGATTGAGGAATACTACAGTGTGTAGTATAGTTTTCTACAGTACACTACAGTTTACTACATAATTCTATAGTAAGTACTGTAGTATTTATGTAAAGTAGCTCAGTTTAGAGAGAAATTAGCAGCAAACTGTTTCCCCCACAAACCACATTATCTGAAAATAGTCTTCACACTTTGTATTTCTCATGGCCTGACAAATGACTAACTCAGAGGATGGGTCCCATCACAACGGACTGACTCTTAGTCTGGCGTTAGATGAAGATAGATAACCCATGACCTCACTGGATTAATCTTAATCTATATAATTTAATCTATTGAATAGAAGATGATTATATCATGTCACATACTATACTGTTCTTTGCATATAAAAATTTGCCTGTGCTATTCTTATGCATTCCAATCATTATCAGTTGTTCAGTATCATTGGATCATATTAGTAGAGCTATAGGTAGTGCCTGTGATAGCTTTGCATCATTACTCTCTATGGTGAACCGTTATCAACAAAGTTAAATGAAGATGAAACAAGAACATTTCACAAAACTGAGTATTGGATTGATGATTTCCAATGTGAATGTTTTCTTTTTGTATTTCCTTTTTTTTTGCTCTTGAATATATTCCCTATTTGTAAGGATTGATTAAGCAACACATTAAAATACTTAATACATTATTAATGTTAGCTATATACATTTCATGCCCAGCATCCAGGCAAGCCAATATGGAGGAAAGTCAATTTGGTAACACTTCACATGATGTTTCTCTTATACCTATCTAATAACAATGTAATCTACTTTAAAATGGTTCTAATTGCATTGTATTTGTATTGTAGTAACAGAGTTGAGCGGTTGTGGAATATCTGTGGTATAGGGACAGATTAACTTGTGTAATAACAAAAACAGCTCAACTCAATGACTACGCAATTACAATGTGATTACAAATTCCATCAACATGTACATTTCCTCCTTTATTCTTCAGGGCACAGTGCTGAACACATGGAAGGTGGTGTGGGTGGTGTTGTCTGAAGATGGGGTGGAGTTCTTCAAGAGAAAGACAGACAGCGCTCCCAAAGGAATGATCCCACTGAAGGGAGCTGTTCTGACCAGCCCCTGTCAGGACTTCAGCAAGAGGACGGTACAGTCACATCACCTTTCACTGCTAAATAGGAGTGCAAGTGTCTATCAATACTGTAGTGACCCCCCCCCCCCCCCCCCCCAACGTAAAGCATCATTGCCATTCTCTTGCAGTTGGTTTTTAAGCTGAGAACGGCCAAGAACCAGGACCATTACTTCCAGGCCACCCACCTGGAGGAGAGAGACTACTGGGTGAAAGACATCAAGAGGGCCATCACCTGTTTGCAGGGGGACAGAAAGTTCACCAGGAAGTCCACAAGGAGGTCCATTCGCCTCCCTGATACAGTCAACCTCAAGTAGGACCTATGACCTGACATACAAGCCACCTATAATCATTTTTTTTTTTATATAATCCACAACTACTCTTACAGGAGCTATCTATAGGTCTTCGGAACTATAATCATACAGTGAGGGAATTCATTATTTGATCCCCTTCTGATTTTGTATGTTTGCCCGCTGACAAAGAAATTATCAGTCTATAATTTTAATGGTAGGTTTATTTGAATAGTGAGAGACAGAATAACAACAACAAAAATCCAGAAAAACGCATGTCAAAAATGTTATAAATTGATTTGCATTTTTATGAGGGAAATAAGTATTTGACCCCTCTGCAAAACCTGACTTAGTACTTGGTGGCAAAACCCTTGTTGGCAATCACAGAGGTCAGACGTTTCTTGTAGTTGGCCACCAGGTTTGCACACATCTCAGGAGGGATTTGTTCCACTCCTCTTTTCAGATCTTCTCCAAGTCATTAAGGTTTCGAGGCTGACGTTTGGCAACTCGAACCTTCAGCTCCCTCCACAGATTTTCTATGGGATTAAGGTCTGCCGAGTGGCGCAGTGGTCTAAGGCACTGCATCGCAGTGCTAGCTGTGCCACTAGAGATCCTGGTTCGAATCCAGGCTCTGTCATAGCTGGCCGTGACTGGGAGACCCCATGGGGCGGCGTACAATTGGCCCAGCGTCGTCCAGGGTAGGGGAGGGAATGGCCGGCAGGGATGTAGCTCAGTTGATAGAGCATGGCGTTTGCAACGCCAGGGTTGTGGGTTCGATTCCCACAGGGGGTATGAACAAATAAATAACGTATGCACTAACTAACTGTAAGTCGCTCTGGATAAAAGCGTCTGCTAAATGACTAAAATGTAAATGTAAAATGTCTGGAGACTGGCTAGGCCACTCCAGGATATTAATGTGCTTCTTCTTGAGCCACTCCTTTGTTGCCTTGGCCGTGTGTTTTGGGTCATTGTCATGCTGGAATACCCATCCACAACCCATTTTCAATGCCCTGGCTGAGGGAAGGAGGTTCTCACCCAAGATTTGACGGTACATGGCCCCGTCCATCATCCCTTTGATGTAGTGAAGTTGTCCTGTCCCCTTAGCAGAAAAACACCCCCAAAGCATAATGTTTCCACCTCCATGTTTGACGGTGGGGATGGTGTTCTTGGGGTCATAGGCAGCATTCCTCCTCCTCCAAACACGGCGAGTTGAGTTGATGCCAAAGAGCTCCATTTTGGTCTCATCTGACCACAACACTTTCACTCAGTCCTCCTCTGAATCATTCAGATGTTCATTGGCAAACTTCAGACGGGCCTGTATATTTGCTTTCTTGAGCAGGGGGACCTTGCGGGCGCTGCAGGATTTCAGTCCTTCACGGCGTAGTGTGTTACCAATTGTTTTCTTGGTGACTATGGTCCCAGCTGCCTTGAGATCAATGACAATATCCTCCCGTGTAGTTCTGGGCTGATTCCTCACCGTTCTCATGATCATTGCAACTCCATGAGGTGAGATCTTGCATGGAGCCCCAGGCAGAGGGAGATTGACAGTTATTTTGTGTTTCTTCCATTTGCGTATAATCGCAACAACTGTTGTCACCTTCTCACCAAGCTGCTTGGCGATGGTCTTGTAGCCCATTCCAGCCTTGTGTAGGTCTACAATCTTGTCCCTGACATCCTTGGAGAGCTCTTTGGTCTTGGCCATGGTGGAGAGTTTGGAATCTGATTGATTGATTGCTTCTGTGGACAGGTGTCTTTTATACAAGTAACAAGCTGAGATTAGGAGCACTCCCTTTAAGAGTGTGCTCCTAATCTCAGCTCGTTACCTGTATAAAAGACACCTGGGAGCCAGAAATCTTTCTGATTGAGAGGGGGTCAAATACTTATTTCCCTTGTTAAAATGCAAATAAATTTATAACATTTTTGACATGCATTTCTCTGGATTTTTTTGTTGTTATTTTGGTTTCTCACTGTTCAAATAAACCTACCATTAAAATTATAGACTGATCATTTCTTTGTCAGTGGGCAAACGTACAAAATCAGCAGGGGATCAAATACTTTTTCCCCACACTGTATACACTAAGAGTCAAAAGTTTGGACACAACTTCTCATTCTGACCCGTACTGTAAGTCATTTGATAACTTTCAAAGTCTTGTCTACTTTGTTGTCTGCCATTTCTCAGTGAGCTTTACATTCTAATGAGAGACCAGGAGGATGGTGTCAAAGAGCTGAAGCTGGAGAAGCAGAAGAGAGTCTACAATCACTGCTTCACAGGTACAGTAGCACATAAATGTATTAGGATTTAGGTGACAGTGGATTTTATTTAACTTGTATTTATCCAGGTCATACTCAAGAGAGTAGTTTTGAGTCATTGAGTCTCATTGAGTCTCATTGAGATAGATCATACCACTTTTGATTATCTTCTTTATTCCTGTCTCTGCAGGTGGTACGGTGGTGGACTGGCTGATCTCTAAGGACAAGGCCAGGAACAGGCCTGAGGCTTTGATGTTGGCTACAGGACTCCTGAATGAAGGTTTCTTGCAGCCCGCAGGGGACGTGTCCAAAGAGGCGGTCGAGGGAGGGGCAGAGTCTGCCGTCCTCGATGACCCGGATGCACTCTACTACTTTGTGAGTGGATGGGTTGATTGTTGTTGTTGGTAATGTAGCTGCTAGTCTCAATATATTCTTCCATATATGCTAGAAGATATGGAGATATGGTGGTCCTTTGCTAGAAGACCACACAGACTGGGAAATGTTTGAACACTTCTGTTGTTAGAAACATACATACAAGCTATAATGTATTATAAGTGAGTATGATATGATGAGATGACATAATCCTGTATCCAAATGTTTCTTTACCTTGTATGGTGTGTTGCAGGCAGACAGTGGGTTCTTCTGTGAAGGCTACTCCAGTGATGAAGATGTGATTGTGAAGGAGGAGTTCAGGGGTAACATCATAAAACAGGGCTGCTTACTCAAACAGGTTAGACTGGAAACACTGTGTAAACACTCATTGAGTGGATATCTATGGAATAACTATTGTGATTATTACCTGATCTGATATGTTGGGATGTTCTGAATTATGCTTTATTCCATACTTAAAGGGGCAATCTGCAGGCAGAAGTTGTGTAAAGTGATAGATAGTCTATAAAAAGGATGTTTGCGATGAAGGAGGAAGTGAAAGTTCCTCACACAAAGCACCGTATCTGTGGTCGGTGCTGTTTTCACAACTGGTAGTAATCAGAAACAGAAGTGTCCATGAGGCTTTGTTTTCATGCTCTCTTTTTTTTCACCCCAGGGTCATCGGAGGAAAAACTGGAGCGTGCGGAAGTTCATCCTCCGGGACGATCCTGCTTATATTCACTATTACGACCCCACCAAGGTAAGGGATTAGAGCAGATTGGAACCTGACACAAAATTATTTTCAATTTCAATATAATTTTTCAAGAACATAACATGAAAAATGTGTCTTTCTCAATCTTTCCCTCGCTCTTGGCTAATGTCTTTCATTCAACTCCTTCCTGTCTTTGTCTCTCTAGCTAATCTGTTATTTTTTCTCTCTCTCCCTTTGCCATCAATCCCTCTTTCTCTCCCTTCTCCACCCTCTCTCTTCTTCCCCACCCTCTCTCTCTCTGTAGGGTGATGAGTACCCTCTGGGCTCTATCCACCTGCGAGGGTCTGTGATCACAGCGGTGGAGTTTGTTCCTGATGGTCAGTTAATTACTGGGGGGGGACATACACCGATCCAAGTCCCACACTGACTCACTGAGTATGTTTACGTGCACAGTAATAATTCGATATTACACTGATTATGGCAGTAGGCAGATCATGCAATAGTCATGTAAACACTTTACTTTGCTTATCTTAATCGGCGTAAGGTCAAAATTGAAGTAAGCATATGCCGATTAAAACACCTGTTTTTTTTATATCTCAAACTATTAGTACATGTAAACACTTTAAATCGGTGTTCCAGTGGTGTATTTGATCTTCCAAGCGAGCCTTCCTCTTTAGCATGAGTGAAGTGAGTTCGGAACAACTGAATGTATGCATCTTAGAAGTAGTTTTCACATACAAACTTTATATGTCCGAACACAATCTCCCACAATAATCGCATTATTGTATGCATGTAACTGTACTCACTGTGACTTTGTGCTCGATTCAATCAGATCTGCTTTAGCCAATGTCTGCATTGTGGTTGTTTTGGCAGTGTCAGAGGTGGAGCTGAGTTAGAGCTGTCAAATCCACAAGTGGCTCCAGGCATTATACCTAAAGCTGACATTGCCATTGGCTGCACGGAGTTGCATTAACAGAAATCCCATGCAGCCTTGTTTACAAGTTCGAAAACACTGGAATGTGACATATAATCTACACCTTGATTAGGATTGTAGAAATCCTCATTATTTTGTTTAATGATTTTTCAATTTGAGCGTAATTAGTTCTGTATGGCCTACACGTTCTCATTCTGAACTTCGTGAATGGGGTGGGTGTGGCTTCGTGACCATTATCACAAGAGCAGCTGCTCACTGATTTGACTGCTCCAACCCAGTTCCACCTCTGACACCGCCAAAACATCCACTATGCGGGTGTCTGCTATCCCGGTCTGATTGAATCTAGGCCTCGGACTATGAAGTGTACTGTTTACTATTAGCAATTCCCGTTTAACTTGTTTGACAAACATTTTTTCTTCTTCATTGTTTCTTGGCTCAGCCAAGAGGTATGATGTTGATGGGAATCTTTTTGAGATCATCACTTCAGATGAGACGCACTATTTCTTCCAAGCGACTACAGCCGAGGAGAGGAAGGAGTGGATCAAAGCCATCCACACCGTGTCAAAAACCGGAAAATAATCACAACAGGCCACATAGCTAATTTGAACAATTTACATTGAGGGATATGGATTATGGTTGGCATGTACAAAGCCTTGTTGCAGAGCCAGAAGGAATCCACATTTAAATAATTTAGCCCTAGAATTTGAAGGATGAATGACTTATCCAAAATTCAGCTTTTACGAGTTTTATGTTTCTTATTGTATTTATGTTGAATGATTACAAATTTCCTGTACATATAGATCAAATGCCCCCTCACATGCTTTTCAAAATTCACCATGATGTGGGTGTACTCTCACCTTTAGATGTATTTATCACATGATATGAGATACAGGCAGGCTGTGAAGAAGGGTGCAATGTTCTCTGTGTAGAAAGGCATGAAGTTCTGTTATGGTTTCTGGTGTGGCCGTCTGCTTTTCCATCCAGCTGCCTGTAAAAGAATAGAATAATCTATTTAGAGGTAGGGAGAAGGAGGAGTTAGAAGAATCTCACTATTCCAGCCAGTTCCTATGACTGAACAAACACTTATCATATCCTGCCTCTGAGGACAATTGTCATTCTGTGGTTTTCATGATGTTCTTATCCCATATCACTTGATATGCACATGGTCTATGTACTGGCTGTATATCGCTGTGTTCTAACTCCAGTATCAATTCAATATCTACTCTTTGTCTCCACTTTCTGGTTTCTGTCAAAAAGTAAATGTCCAAAAAAGTTATGGTTTTCAAACAACCAAGAATTGTGACCCTATTATTTGACATGTACCTTTGATCTTTGACTCTCCTCGTGTTTATCTACTCCGACCGGGCGTTATGACATCCTGAAAGATGTAATGCCTCCAAATTCAATAAAAGGCAGGATTCAGGACTTTCATGAAAAGCAGCATATCAAACCACTATCCTCATTTATTAATTTCCCTCTCTACCTACTCTCCTACACAAACTAATCTCCATACAGTTAAAGAGATTTTCTGTATACTTTTTAGCTAGTAGTTTTGTATACCTTTTAGCTAGTAGTTATGAAAGCAGTGCCCAAGAGTCAAAAAGGGTCCCTGAAAATGGTGCACAATTGTGTACAATATCATCACGTAATTGCTCTTGAGCACATGCAGCGTGTGCACCAAGACAGTGAAAAACACTCTGGTGTTCATGTGGTGTGGATGTTGGGTGTGCATGTTGGGCTCACCCCGCAACCTGTTGGTTGTGCCGATCTGATCCCGCCTCCACCTGCCAATCAACAATGGCCCTCATGTTCAGTTGTGGCTAGTTCCCGTTGTGGCAAGCAAGCGATTGTGATAATGTAATTTTATATAATGGAAAAGTTATATATCCTATTCCTTGAGAGTAATTGATTATACAGTGCATTCGGAAAGTATTCAGACCCCTTGACTTTTTCCACATGTTGTTACATTATATCACATTTATATAAGTATTTAAAGTGAGACCGATTCAAGACCAAGACCAGAAAAATGCGAGTCTAATTCAAGACCATGATTGTAATTTTGTCAAATCACCACCATAATAAGAGTTCAAAATGTCCAGTATTTCTGTGTTCATATTTCAGAACAACATATGGATCCTTTAGACATTCAGAATAGTGAAAAAATGCATGCTGAGGAAAAATAGAGCCACTCTACAAATTATTACTAACCCAAACACAATGGGGGACAATTGGCATTCTACGCCTCAAAGAAGGGCTAAGGATTTATAAAATAATGATTATAATAATAATATTATAATAATAATGATACACACATACATATATATATATATATTTGATGATGTTCTGATTTAATCTCTTCAGTTTTTTTTTTTTTTGGAATGGAAAGGGTTAACACTGAATTGAAAAAAGATCCAATCAGGATTTTTCATTGCTGTTCTCTGGGGAGATAAATCTAGCTAGCTTAGTCAGCCATTGGCTAAGCCATGATAAGCTAGATAAGGGCATCTGCCATTCAACTGTATTAGGGCAAAAGTTTGGAGTGACAGTGGAATCAACCAATCACATTGACTTAATGAGTGGGACCGTTTTTACAAAAACGTATGGGAACATCTACCTTCTTGAAGGCCAAAAGGTCACTGTGCAATAGCAAGCAGTAGTTTTCCCATGGTCAACAGGTCACAAATGAGTGAACACCTCACTCTGACCATTTTACTTGCCGTAGCAGAGCTGGTTAGGCTGTTTACATGTTATCTTGACTAACTATTAGGGCTGTTGCAGTGACCGTATTACCGCCACACTGGCGGTCACGAGTCATGAAGGCAGTCAAATTCCACATGACCGTTTAGTCACTGTAATTAGGCTTCTCCAAGCACTGATGCTGCTGATGGTCATTAGTAGGCTACCAAACTTGCTAACTGCCTGGTACTCAGCACTCTGATGTCCCTCTAAATCACTCTGACATCAATGCAAATGTTTTTAAAATCTAATCAAACACTTCATGAGAGCCCATGAGCTCCTGTTGCATAACATTTCAATAGGCTATGCAATTGCGTGAGAAAACAGAGTGATGGCCTCTACTGAAAAGAGGAGGATCAGCTTTCTATAGGCTAGGCCTACTACATTTATTTTTCAACGTTCCTAATACTAAGCACATTGCTTATATTTACAACAGGAGTATAGCCTACTTGGCTGGTATGAAAAGCATCCTCCATTCGCTATTTAAGTGCATAGATGACATGTGTTTTTTACAGCTGCCCCTGTTTCGATACAGGTGTATGATAATAGTCCATTCTAAATCAAAACAAATTTCACACATATATTACTTTGTATATGTAAAGATTAAATCAAGAATAGTCTGATGGGTGACAATATTAGCCTATCACTTGTGAATTATATATTATCACTTGTGAATGGTGCCCAGCATAAGAAAATGCCTTTTTTTGCAACTTTTTCCAATCATAGTCGCACACCTCATGTAGCCTAGCCCATTGGCATTTACGTTTTAATAAGGTTTGTATCACAAACAAAAGTGGCCAAATAACTTCTTAAAATTAAGCACATTCATCTGCTTTACAAGGGGTGTAGAGCCGAACTGCCATACATTAGCAGCGCGTGAGTTTCAAGTTTGGGGAATAATTTTCACCATAAAAATGCACCTTTATAATAAAAGCATTACATGCATAATTGCATTTGCGGTCACTTTTGATAATGGTGTTTTCCGCTAATGGAACATTCACGCTTATAGCCTACTACCATGTTCACATTGCTGCGCTTATAATGTGAAGAAATAGCCTAATAGTTTATCAACATTTTAAGCTAAACGTTCTGATCTGTTCCGTCAGCCACATTGCGTAAAAAAGGTTTTTTGATGCTAGTGGTTGTATTAATTTGGGATCTATCGCATCCCACAACTGTCCCAGACTATGTTTGGAATATTTATTTATCGCACAGAATAGAATAGGTCGACCTTTATACTATGGGGGATAGTAGATTGACATAGGCTAGTGTTTTTGCTGTTTGTTAGGCCTACTAATCCTGTTGGTTTACGAAAAGTAAATGTGGACAGTTCTTCCAATATCTTCAATATGCACCTCTGAATTGGATAAGGATGCGTGTAATTATGTCCCCGATGTATCTGTCTTCACTTGTAGCCTGTGAGAAAGACCCAATCACGTGATGGAGCGAGCAGCACTCAGGGAGAAGGGCACAATGGCCACTGGCCATAAAAAGGCATGGATTTGTGGGGTAAGTAGAGCAAAACGGAGAACACCATTGTGTTTGTGAGAGTCTCATCTTTCCATAGAGTGGTCATATTAGTTTTGTAGGCCACACTGTTTGGACACAATTTTCGGGACGTCTCATGGTCTGGCAAACACTGCAAAAAAACAGATATATCCAGCTTAAACTGACTGATTTTTATGGGGATTTTTTTATTATGTTACTTAGATTGACGCATGGGTGAGTCAATAGACTCTTAAGGATTTGAACCAGTCTTGCAACACCTGGAAGTTTGTCTGTGCTTTTTTTGGTTGAACACAAGAGGGCACTATATTTCAAAACATGTCACTCAATCTGTCCTCACCAGCATATCAACCTGTGTCATTGCACACACTCATTGACACTGGTATATAAAGTCCACTTTGAAAGGGTAATGGGATTGCCTAAAAGGTGAATAACAAATATATAGGACAGCAGGACAATAATTTATCTTACTGATAAAGATCTTTAGTCAATATTCCAGGAAAGGAGAACACCTGGGATAATAATTATTTACCAGATTGATACCCAGCTGACATTACTGTACTAACAATGATGTGGTTAAAGATCAGTACATGGCTGATCTTGCTCATGCTACATTGCATAAACACAATTGATGAAAATAAAGAGTAACACTGTGTCCATGGCCTTTGTCATCAAGTCAAGTAAAACATTTTTACAGTGCATTTAACAAGTCTCAATACACTCAATACCATATACGGGTCATTCTACAGATTCGGTGCCTTTTGTGATTGAGGAGGATGAAACAATGAACATTAAAATCTTAAGCTTTTTTTTATTTGATGTGACAAAGTAATGTGTGTACTTGATAGAAAATACCTTTTCCCATCTCAATGTAGAGTATTAAGTTATTATTCTGTATTATTTTCTCAAACAAGTCCCAATTTAATTCAACCCCGTCACAGTCATTTTGTTATTCAACTATTCATTTTTCCAATAAGCTTGAGATCAGCTTCTGGCATAATCTCACAGTTTAGATGTCCCTTGTAAATAATGGCATTTTGTAATTAAAGAGAAAATCAAGAAAAACTGACCAGCACCATCCTTTCCAGTTTACGATGAATAAATTTCTAATCTAACTCCACATTTTCGCAAGAAATGTGCAAGAATGCTGCGTAATTCCTGACAAAATTGAAATAGCCTTATTTACCCTGATTTAATACACACAATAAAAACACTATTGATGTTATATTTTGTGTATTTAATATAAAAATGTAAAAAAATAATCTCGTAACAGGGATGAATGCACCGCAACAGGGTTGAAAATCATGTAACAGGGTTGAGTGAAAAGCATCACGTGTCATATGTTTTATCTTTTGAGATCACTAACATGTTGCCATTTTTTAAACATTTTAAACATTTTTAAACCTACTGTCAACATAGCTTTTAAAATCTAAAGAATCTAGATGAAAGCTAGACAGAGTAAAACACATTAATGAACTAATAACAGTAACAACATCTGAAATTGTAGGTCAAGGTCAAGTCAATGACCAGTTTACTCTCCAAAACTAATTACTGTATCCTTTTAATCACTATGTAGTAAAATGAACGTGAACATGCAGATAATACTCCTAAATATGTCAGTACAAACCAGTCGGCTAGTGAACATGAACCCCTCACGCACCAGTTGCCAAGGCAGTATACTGTATGTCTTTTTAGACTAGTCTTCATTTACATTCTCTAGTCTTTTTATGCATTACCAAATTATGCTTTAAAGCAACAAAACTTTATTTTCTGTTGATTGTGTGTCCATGACCACCACCACCTCGTGTCTTAAAGATCTTACATTTCCAGGAGAATTACCTGACCACCGGCGCGCGGATGTCCCTCACCTTCCTCTCTATGTGTGTTTCCTTTCTGCTGCTGTTTTTTCCATTGTTGAATCTGAAATTGTAGGTCAAGGTCAAGTCAATGACCTGCTTACTCTTCAAGACTAAATATTGTATCCTTTTAATCACTATGTAGTAAAATGAACATGAACTTGCAGATAATACTCCTAAATATGTCAATGTATATAGGAGAGAGAACAAATTAATTGTCACTTTTTTAAAGTTATTATTTTCAAAAATTCCTCGTACTTTTAGCTGATACTGTAAAACCGTAAACAACAAACATTCAACAAGAAAATATGATTGG